TGGTGTGCAAATAATGGTTTAAACTTAAACACGGATAAATGTAGTCAAATTACATTCTCTAGAAATAAGCAAAATTTTTTACTTAATTATCACATAGATAATGAAAACCTTAATATTGTATCTAATTTAAAAGACTTGGGTATAATTTTTTCTAATGACCTTACATTTACCAAACATATAAATGAAATCCATAATAAAGCTTACGTGTATTTGGATTTTTAAAACGGAATTGCTGGGAGTTTCATGACCCAATTTGCCTACGTGTTTTATACTTCTCTCTAGTACGATCGATTTTAGAATATGGTTCGATACTCTGGAACCCTCATCAAGAGTATCTTATTAATAAATTAGAACGAATCCAAAATCGATTTTTACGTATGCTGGCATATAAAACAAATAATGTTGAATTAACATTGCAATCATTATCTTTAAAATATGAAATAGATAGTTTGGAATTTAGGAGACAATTTAAGGACATACATTGGCTCTATAACTTACTAAACTTCAAAATTGAATGCCCAGATATACTTGCTTTAATTAATATAAATGCTCCAAATATCACGTTAAGATCCACATCTACATTCTACACTCCTACTTGCAAACGTAATTATTGTCTATTTGCACCGGTAAACCGAATGTTAACTCTAGGTAATAAACTTAATAATTTTGATTTTTTTTTTACAGAATTCACTTTCAGATTTAAAAAATTGTTATAATATTTAGTTATAGTTTCATTATTATCTTAAATACTTATTGTTGTTTTTTTTTTTTTTTTTTATTATTCATCTTTATTATGTATGCAAAATTACTTTATTCATGTATTTTAACTAATTATCTCTGTACTCTATGCCCACAGGGCGTTTATTAAATAAATATTAAATATTATATTAAATATTATTAAATATTAAATAGAATAAAGTTCTTAAGACATAAGAAATTAAACTTATTTAAATTTTTTTGCTTTTTTAAAGTCGAAAAATTAACTTTTAAATTGGACTTAAATTACTAATTATATCGTGCGACGAAAGCGACGAACAGTTACCGAATCAGTAACACTTGTGTCTTTCACGCTTAGGGTACAAGGTTCGAATCCGCCTAAGAAAATTAATATTTTGCATTTTTTTTAAGTTAAAAAAAATTTTCAAATCATTTGATTTTTATTTCATTAAGATTCAATAACTTCAATAAATATCAAGGATCCCATCACTATAGTCTCCCCTCGTGAGAAGAAATTTTTTATTCATCTTAATATTATTTTACTATGTGTTTTTTTTAATGTCGCGATTTATTTTGCCAACCCTCACTTAACCTTCTTTTTTCAACGATACGTCAAATGATTACAATTCGTATTTAGTTGAAGATATTACCCTCAAAAATTGAAAAACAAAATCCCTTAATCAAATAACAAGTAGCATAACCAGCTTTATCCATTTAAACAATTAAAATCATTCATTTCTAATATTTTTAATGTATTTATTGTCGAATTAGATTTGATATTATAAAATTATTCAACTACAAAAGTAAATAATTTTACTTTGAAATTTATTAATTTTTTTACTCTATTTGTGTGTTTTACTACCAGTCTATAACTTCACAATTTTTTTCGTAACATGATGCTATATAAATCATAAATCTATAAAAAAAAAAGAAAAACCCAGCACAGTGATGTGGCGGCACAGTGGGGTCGTGGCATAGTTGGGTCCAGTATAGATGATATCTGACAGTGATTAAAATCACTATCATAAAAAACGCTTCAATGCAAATCTGTAGATAGTGTTTAATTAAAAAAAAAAATTTGTTAAAATAGCATATTTTTGAATATAGTAGCCATTTGCGCATAGAAGATAGGTCGTCGGGAAAATTTTTTTTTTTCATTTTATAGTACATAAAATAAGCTTTAATTTGATATATGTTTAAAAGCCGCAGTATTTCCGGAACATTTTCAAAAATTAAGTTGAAAAAGTTATTTTTTGTAAAAAAGTTACTATTTTAAATCCCCCCAGTGAGCAGAATAAGTGTTAGATTTTCAAAAAAATTATATCAAATGAAAGGGAAATATCTAAGGTTGTAGTATAAAAAAATATTATTTTTATTTGTTCATTTTTGAAAAAGTTATGGCAGTTTTAAGTACAAAAAACATTCCGATAAAAGGTAATTTTTATCGCAAACATTACATTTTTTTTTAATTTTCGACAGCCATTTGCACATAGAAGATTAGATGTCGGGACAAATTTTTTTTTTTCATTTGATAGTATATAACATAACCTTTGATTTGATATATGTTTAAAGGACGCAGTATTTCCGGAACATTTTCAAAAGTTCAGTTGAAAAAGATCTATGTTTTTTACAATATTTTAAGTTTTGAACGCCCCCTATATAAGGGGAAATTGTCCAATTTTAATAAAAAGTATGTCAAATAAAAGATGTACTTATAATGTGTTTATAAAAAAAAATTTGTGCTGATATATACATTTTTCAAAAAGTTATAGCATTTTTAGGTTGAAAATTTAAAATCGAAAATTTTAACACAAAAATAGTGTTTTTTTAACTACGGCAGCCGTTTAAATGTAGAAANTATAGTGTTTTTTTAACTACGGCAGCCGTTTAAATGTAGAAGAAAAAGTGTCGGGACAAATATTTTTTTTTCATTTAGTAGTACATATAAAATAAGCTTTAATTTGATATATGCTTGAAGGACGAAGTATTTCCGGAACATTTTCAAAAATTAAGTTGAAAAAGTTAATTTTTGTAAAAAAGTTGCCATTTTAAATCCCCCCCAATGAGCAGGTTAAGTGATAGATTTTCAAAAAAATGATATCAAATGAAAGGTAAATATCTAAGGTTTTAGTATAAAAAAAAATTATGTTGATTTGTTGATTTTTCAAAAAGTTATGGAAGTTTNTTTGATTTGTTCATTTTTGAAAAAGTTACGGCAGTTTTTAGTAAAAAAATTGAAAAAATTTCGAAAATTAGCGATTTTTAAATTTGTAATTTTTTTGGATATTTCCCCCATTTGCGGGGAACGAGGGAA